AGCCCTTAACCCAGTGCCTGGCATCTAATAAGTATTTAATGAGTGGCAGTTTTTTGTTTTCTTTTGAGCAGAGGATAAGAGCAGGTCAGTTGGTAGCAAGGGTCAGAGAAGAGTAAGGGTGGCGGTGATGGAAGGAGCCTTTAGACAGAGAGCCTTACAGACAGACTACCTGAGGCTTTGTGGCTAGATGCAAGAGGTAGGTGCTCAAGTTGCTTCCGGGAAGAGCTATGTGATCAGATGCAAACATCGTCACAGGCAATACAGGACTGGTTAAAAAGGGTGTGACTGGAAAGAAGAAAGCTTGGAGAAAAAGGCTATTGCAGTTTGTCAGGGTCCAGGTTCCATCAGAGTCTGGCTGAGACAGTGACTGTAGAGCCCGTCCCTCCTAAAACGCCCACCCTCACTGATCACCAAGCACAATGCCCTGCGCCTCCTGCCCCCGCCTCCTCCTCCCACCACACTGCTGGTACATGGAGAGGGGCAACAGTCCCCATTCCCCTCTCACTGGCACGAAATTGCTGCTCTGTGGGTGGCCTAGGGTACAGCCCATACCTGTGTCCTGGATACATTCCCCATGTGGCTGTGGTCATGTGTGCAGTGCGTGTGTACATGTGGGGTGGGCACACCAGAAGGAACAGAAGGAGCCCACAGATGAGTAACGGCATACACTGCTGCCTCTCAGAGTATTTTTAAATGCTAAAAATACTGGCTAAAAATAGCCAGCAAGCTCCAAACAAGATACTTTCTCTAGGCAGATTCGTGTGCTTCTCTGTTAGGTGGAGGGGCAGAGCATCAGAAATAAAACTCAAAGACCCCTAATCTTCAAGCATTACTGTGCTTAGGGTCAGAGTAGAACAGTCCCCACACCAGCTGAGCATTTCCCCACCATTGTGTTACTTTCTCCCTATTTCCTTACTATTGTTTACTTTCTCCCTACCTCCCCAAAGCAAATCAAGTTTGAGATTCTGTGAGCGATGGAGCTGGGTATTGCTTAGAAGAAGCCAGAAAGTGTTCTTTCCTGGAGCCAAAAGGGACAGTGACCTATTGTACCTTGTAAACTATGAGCACTGCCTCTCTTGATAATGGGTCAAACAGGACTGAAGGGAGGAGGGGAACTCCGTCTTGGGGCCCTGGAGGTCTGTCTTCTAGCTGGACGCATGGACCTCCGCGGATTGTGGATGTTGTGGTCCAGGAGGACCTGCAGCACATTCCCCCCCATCCACCCCCCAATGCTATGCAAAAGTGCGCAGTTGCGCATTTTGCCCTGATGAGTACACAGAGCTTTCATCAGGTTCCCAAAATGATTTGCAGACCCCCAAAGTTAGGAATTGAATGCTGCCTTGGGGGAAGCTCACTCAGCTTGGCCTCAGGGAGGTGCCCTCTGCGGGCCCCAAAGATCGTTTCTCCTGAGTCCCAACCCCGAGATCAGCCCAGGCCTCCGGGATCCAGCCCTGCCTCCCCCGCGAGCCGTCCTGGGCGGGGGTCAGC